ACAGCAAGGATAACCCATTCACCTTGGAAAGAGCATATTAATCATAACAAAGAAAAACTATACTTAAAAATAGTTTCATACCAGACCCCTGACGTATTTGCAATGCTCGGACGAAGCTTGAGCATTCAGGACTGCAGTCTTAAGCTCAGGCAACCATTGTTCCGATATTGTATTCTCTTGTTCAGTAGCTAGATCTAGACAATAGTTAGTTGTCCTGCATACGGTATTAACAGAAAATTAGTACAATGATAGTTTACATAAGATAGCCGGGGAAATAAATACGATAATGGTGACCCGTATTATACCAGATTAACAAGGAACATGCTTTACCTTTCATATTTTTGCTGGGCTTGAAAAGCATGATCTAACAGAGCATGGGCACTTTCAACCAGATCCTTCCGTGTATGTACCGAATTAATTGCCTTTGCTAAGTCTTCTAAAATACATGCTTCAGAGCCACGAACCCTTAAGCAGAACTCAAGAGACTCTAAAACCGAGGCCACACTTGCATCTGAACCCTCCAGACCTATTTAACAAGCAAGAATATTGATTATAAACAAATTCTACTAATAATTTTAACCAATGAAGAGTTCCAAGTATTAGATTTAAAGGTCATCCACTTTCTATATGGTTGAAACCCACAGCCGATCCAAAGCGCGATGATAATTTGCAACTAATGGCTATCATTAAACCTTTTGGCAACTCCAGCGTACCTCAATCTACATATCAGTTGGATGAACCAACAGTGCCAAGAAAAAGTCTTTGTCTGTTTTGTTTAATTTTGCATTGCATTGAAAGAGATTGTCATTCATGAGGCAGTGAGCAATGGTTTCATTAGGAAGCTCCTTGAAGCATGGCAATCAAGATTATGTATGGTTCAAAGTTCATAAAGTTTTCCAGAGGGAAGAACTATACGCCGTCATCTTTTTTCTAAGAAAAAAAGATGAAGAAAATCTCACCTGCAGGATATTGAAGGGCAGCAGAAATGCGACATATAGATGGAATTGCTGATGGATCTCTTGCACCAGCTCTTGCAGTCAATAAAGCAGCATTCTTCTCTGCGTAGGCAACAGCTTCAAGTCCTGTCGATCCATTAGCTCCCATAGACTCCAGAAGTCCCTAATTAAAAAGATGTTCAAATAAATGAACAGAATCGAGGCATCTACATGCAACTTCGCTAAAATGAAAGAACCGGATGTCTTCTAATAGCACATTCCGTTAGGAGACCAGCAAAATGTTGCGTGAACCATAAAGTCCCAAACTTCTACTATGCTGCACGATTATTTAACTTACAGACCAAAAAACCCTTTGCACATGTACCACACTTTTCTATATTCAACTTCTATTCTTTTTGTATTTTCCAACAAATACCAGCCTTTAATTCTGGTTGAAATATATCTTACAAGTTAACTGAAATACACATGTATCACGCAAAAGTGGATAAGTAAAAGACAGCAGAATATCATCTGACAACTTAACACACCTGGGGAGTTGCTGGAAGCATATAGAGAGTGCTATCAGGACTTTGGAAGAAAGCAGACACTTCTTTCTCAATGAAATCTTTTGCGTTGTTTGAAATGTCCACAACAACTTCACTAGCTGGAATTACAGTGGCTGCTGCATATTCCCTTGCAGCTAGTGGTTGCTGATTCCAAAATGCAACAGCATCCTATATAAAAAAAAGGTGATAATAAAGAGTAATACCCATAGTAATTATCACTTATTAGTTCTACGACAGAATCAGTTGGGACATTACCATGTTGGCCTTGAGGAGAGTTGTATATATGGTTTCAAGTTCGGATCTGCGAGCATCAAATTCCTCAATTTTCTTCCACTTCTTTTTTAAAGATTCTTCGGCTTCTTTTCTTTCTGCACATAATTTGTTCAGCCGTTGTATTTCAGATATCAATGTGTTTAAGCTAGCCCTCAAGCCAGCAGCTTCTCTTTCCTTTCCCCATACATCCAACTGCAAAGGAAAAATTGAAGAGCTTGTTCAAGCAAGTATATCAGCATGTACATAACATACAATGGACATTCATGATAACTGAGAATCAATAATGCAGTGCCAAGTACACAAGGAATATAATCAACTCCAGTATAGCCTAAATAAGAGTGTTTTGATTGTCAGATTTGCACAAGAACACGAGTATTCATTTTAGATTCAAGTAAAAGAAAA